CCATTTCGCTACAATATATACAATTAATTATATTATTTCAGGGTTATTTTTTGTTTTTTGTTTTTTTTTAATTTTTATTATAATTCATATTTTGTATTTTTACCTGATTAGTAACGACCGAAAATTCCACAGTATCACCGGGATGCAAGGCTACAGCATTGCCCTGCACCTCAGACATGTGGAAGAACAGTTTTTTGCCATCTTCTATCTCATAATTGAGAAATCCGAATTGACCCTTGATAGAATCAACCGTAGCACGTTTCTTTTGGCGGACGGCAGTGATTTCAGCAGCTCGGCCAGTCTCATCAACTTTGAATGTAACCAAATCGCCTTTTTGCAATAAATCTCGTTTATTGACTAAACTGGTAATGCCGAACTCATGCTTGGCTAACACCTGTGTACGCGATTCGTCAAACACTTCAATTAGTCCAGCATACTCCTGCTGATCAGGATTGATGCAACGTAACGGACGTGCAACAACACCGTTGTGCATGCCCTCCAATACACTTGGCTGCGGTATGGTTCCCTTTGGCAAGGTGCGTACATTCTCTGCTGGCAAACAATTGCCCGACACAGATGTATTGCCATTCGGCGACAGAATATATTCTACTTCCTGACCCAATTCTAACCAGTTAGGATTGCCTACATAGTTGCTGAAGTGAAAGAATACTTCTTCATCGTGCAACATAGTTTCAATAAAACCAAAGTTCTCCTTAATAACGGCTATAAAACCCCGATAGACAATTTGTCCACTAGCATTGGTAGCCAAATTATTGTTGTCCAATTTGTTATAGTCCTCGATACGAGGGGTGGAGGCAGCGATCATAATCTGATTACCAACCATCGGTAAATATCCGTTTTGCTGTATAACAATGCCACTGCCTATACCGTTTGGCAGCAATGTTTGATCACTGTTTTGATTGGCGTGAATGGTATGATGATGTTGTGCTGGTTGCTGTTGTGGTTGTTGTGGTTGTTGTGGTTGCTGTTGTTGTTGTTGTTGTTGTTGTGGTTGCTGCTGCTGCTGTTGTTGTTGTTGTTGTTGTTGTTGTTGTTGTGGATTCGTTGTATTCGATGCCAGCTGTTGCATTGTGACTGATTGCTGCTGTAACTGTTGTAATGGTTGTGGTGGTGGCGGCTGCAGTTGTTGCGTGCCCGGTTGCATTACATGCAACTGTTGTACGTTAACAGCAATCAATTCTTTATTTCTTTTTACCTAAATAAAAAATAAGCGTTTTACTTGATTTCCAAAAACAAAAAAAAAACACAAAAAGTGACCATCTTACCAAATAAATATCGAAGCGTACACGATCTCCAATCCTTGGTGGTTTTTCGCAGTCTTTAAGGAAATACATTATAGTCTTTTTAAGTTCACCATGATCATACGTTATAACACCGCCTTCAACACGGTCTTGAGATTTTATTGGACTCTTGGGTGCCTCACGAGTAACATAACCTAAAAATTTACAAACTGAAAGCTGTAACACCGCTTTGGAATAAGACATTTAGACGAACAACTTACCCTCAATATTGCTGGCCACTAATGTTTCAAATTGCACAGAATTGGGTGGCAAATGTCGTATACGTATCGCATGTAAACGCGAAGTGTTATAGGGCACACCCTGTTCTTGGACTACAGTAAATTCCACCTCATCGTTAATAGCGATTTCACGGCTCTATGATATAAGATAAATAAATGTAGGAACAATTACATATTCATTCGAATATTTTAGCAAATTGCAACAAAATAATGGCACTGTTTTATTTGATTAAAAGAATGCTTACTGTGTCAAGGATTTCAGTGAAATGAAAAAATAAACGCACATTACGTTCCACACAACGTATAAAACCGAAACCTTCCTTTAATGAAGCGATAACGCCCTGTTCGCGCTTCTCTCCTGAAACTTTAAAGGTCTCATCCAACAGAGAAATTGCTGTCGCTCGCTGCAATTGATCCCGGCGATCTGTAGCCAATAGAAACTGAACCCAATCGCCGTGACGCAAAGTAAAGTCGCCCTTCTGCATAAATATATTTATAAATTTCGTGAATTCAAATATAAATATAAAAATAATTTTGCATTTGCCTGGTCTTTATCTCCAAATGGTACTTCAACTTCTGAATAATCAGGTGCACGATAGCGTATGCGACCGGGCAACGGATCATTCGTGGGACGCATGGGATTGTTGCGATCCAATGGCTTCAACACTTGACCCTTATAGATAACCGTATCTACATCTTCGAAAATGACGGAACCCGGAGGCAAACGTGTTATATTGCAAGCAAATTCGCGACCCTTTAATGGAACGACAAAAAAACAAATCATGATGACACACGTACTTAAAAAAAAATAAATATATCTTACACTACGAGTTTGTATGGTGAATTCAACATCATCGCCTGGACGTAGTTCGACATTTCCTTCAGCTTCCGAAAAATGAAAGAAAATCTCTTTAACCACGTCGGCACGTTCAATGAAACCGAACGACTCCTTCATTGAGCATACCACGCCTCGATATTTAACTGGCTGTGCTGGGTTCTCTAAGCGAATATGACATGCGCCCAGATTACCTCTAAATTAATATTAAAGCATAAGATGATTCACGCATATATACGATCATCATAATAATAATGTAAAAAATGCTCTATACCTTTGGTTGGTAGCTATTTGGAAGCTGACCTTATCGCCAGCTCGCAAAGTAACATTACCCTCAACATCGTCTTTGGTATAGGGCAAGAAAAAGCATTCACCGCGGTTCTCATAACTAATTCGGCCGGTAGTCTCACTGGACGACAACAAATTATTTGCGCTATCGGTACGCAATTCGGTGGTCACAGTACCGGTAACACGCTCCTCCGACAAGACCTATCATTATGATATATATGATATATAAGCTCGCACATTTGTAGCCTTACATTGACTCACCACTTCTGGAGCTATTTTAGAAACTTGACTAGCAATTGGTTTACCCGTTCGACGATCATAAGTCATTTCAAATTCTACAGGGTCACCGATCTTTAAATGATCAATATTGCCACTGAATTGCGAAAAATGAAAAAATAAGCGCGCCTGACGCTCACAACACTGTATAAAGCCATACGAATGCTGAAAAGAAGAAACACACAAGCGAAAACAGAATGAAAAAGAACAGAGAACAGATATTTAGATATAGATTGTTATATAATATTAGCAATAAAGCAATAAAGCAGTTAATCGAATATATATGCATTGACTTACCAAAAGTTTTTCAATTATACCAGTCTCACGTGTAGTTTGACTTGGATCATTGGCAGCTGAAGAAGAATTCGATTGAGAACCATACATTGAGGATGAAGTCCCACCACCATTGCTAAGAACACTATTGGATTGGAATACCCCTATGGTGGACGGATTTTGCATAACATCCGTTACTTCGTTAGCATCGAAAAAACCAATTGGGGCACCCTGACCCATTGGTGGCGGTGGGCCCTGAGGCTGATGTTGATGCGGCGTGGGCGGCCCCAAAGCTGTCTCAAGTGAAAATGTACCAATAGGCGGAAAGTTATTCGAAATACCCATATTACGTATTGCGTTCATATTGAAAAATCCATCACACGGCAAATTATCGTAGATTTCTGACAAAACGTGAATGAACATACTCATACATATAAATAAATGTATAAATGAATATACTGAGGTAAAATGTTAAAAAAAAAATTTTTTTTTTTCGTTGTTTTTTGTTTCTTTTTTTTTTTTTGTATTTTTTTTTGCTTTTTTGTTTGTTTTTTTTTTTTGTTTTTTTTTTTTTGTTTGCTTTAAACTAATTGGAAAATTAAAAAATTGAATATTGACTCTCGACCAATTAATTTTTTTTTTTTATTTCCATATATATATATTCAACGTGGTTAAGTAAGTAGTAGTGGTATGATGATGATGATGATGATGATAATGATGATGACGCTGATTCTGGTCTCTTTACAACACACGTCGGCAATCACCCTCCTTAAATAGAACGAACGAACGAATGAACATACGAACGGACACCTTTTTTCTTTTCAATTATATTTCGATTCTATAAAGTTTATATTGTTTCTTTACTTTTTGTTGTTAATTATACACTAAACAGAAGTTTTAAATTTTGTGCTAAGTGGTTGGACAGCCAAGAGACGCAAGTTTCACTAATAATTCGGAAAGACTTTGAGTTGATTTTTAATTGAATTTTAAAATATTTGTGTGTTTTTATTTTTGGGGAACAGATTGACAAATGAAAATCGAGTCGAACAAGCAACAGCAATTGATGTTTTTATCATGGCAAAGCATTCTAATTTTAATATCTTCCCAAGTTTTCGTTTGTAAGGTATAAAAAAAAAAAAAAAATGTTACTGTCTTTCAATTCGAACACAGTTAATATTGGGGTACCTTATAGAATCTTTTCAATTTCAGTTGCAGTACGTGGAGGAGATAGGCCGCTGTCCGCCTATGTTTTCAAAAGCAAGAAAATTCGCCTGTTGTTCCTTTCACAGGAAAATCCTCTACAAATTATTTATTTCACATAATTAAGGTACAATATAGATACGCTCGGATACTATATAGAAACGCTCACACAGATAGACGGACATGTCTAAATTGTTACAGAATCACATTCTGAATGAATCGGAATCGATTGGTGTAATAGAGACATATTAAGATTTTTTAAACGTCGCATAATGCATTCTTGCTTCGCGCGATTTAAAGTGCATTACACTATCCGTTTATTATAATTCGGCGTGAATAAAACGATCAATTTCGCCACACACGCACGTTTCCTATTCTCATTATTGATCTCAAATATTTTTTTTAACGTCATCGTCCGATTAAATTCAATTCATAATTCAAATGAATTCTACTACATTCTATCACTTCCGGCATGTCTGAGCGAAAAATTGTAAAATAATTTTCACGCGCCGCCTTTGAACTCAATTTCATACCATCAACAATGTTCGACGGAGAGTGATGGTGGAAAAGAGAGAGTTAGCACGTGGCAAAGTCGAGTCCACAGTGTGAGACGCATCAAAACTCTAAGAAATTCTATAGTGACGGCATTACAATTTTGCCCGAAAACAACAAGTAAGCACACTATAGTGGGACACCAAATTTCATTAAATACCCTACACCTCCTTACAGTTATTCATAAATTGACTAAATAAATATACCCGTACTATTTGATGTGGTAGGTGAAATTTAGGCAGGTAAAAATTTTTTTGAAATAAATAGGATGTGGAAGTCACAATATATATCGCATACATGTCTATCATCGTTGAAAAAGAGTTCAGTCTTCATGTCTTCACATTTTATCCCAAGACAACATCACCGCGACATATATTTATACTCAACTACAAAAACAAGAAAGCAATATTCGTCTCGTAGGTTTCTTTTCAAATATCAGTTGGATAGAATATACAAGATTTTGCTGTACTCTTATACCCTGCACCACTTATTATACGAGGGTAGATTAAGTTAGTGTGCATGTACACAAAACACCCACAAGGACACCTTTTATTTATTACATTCATTGATTCAGGATCACCTTCTAAATAATTCTAAGCTTATCTTTCTACCTGTTCGTTTTGTTTTCTGGTGTTCACCACACTACAAGTCGCAAAATTTCAAATATATTTAAATGAAATTTGGTACTGATATGCAAAATTCATTGCGCATCGCATACAACTTTACATAGGATCAATGTCAAGTTCAGTTGATTATCGGCTTCGGTCTAACGAGATTAACTAACAAAAGGAAATTGCAACCAATTTTGCTCCTACAGGCGACATTTTCACTTAATACAATCGCGTTTTTAATAGAGCGACAAACACAGAAATGACTAAATTCATTTTGCTCCTTACTCCGACTAAGAATACATTAATTTTCCGAATTTTGCAAATCTGAAATGTCTCCTCTAATTGATAAAATTGCGCCTTTTTAGCCACTTCGGTACCGTTTTATTTCCTTAATTTGCGGCCTTAACTGCAATCGAGATTAAGTTTTCACAGCAATTATTTCAGTTTTTTTTTTTTTTTTTTCTCAAGTTATAGGCATCCTGGCCACAGCATTTCTACATATTTGTTCTTTTAATATTATGAGCGACTGACGACAGCAGATTTTTGGAGATTTTTTTTTGAATTTTCAACAATTCTAAAAAGCAATAATGAATGACGAGACGAATACATGAGAACAACATTTTACAATGATCCGTTGATCCGATGGTTTTTCTCTAATCCGTTTCATCCGATATAAGAGAAACGAGATAAATTTCCATATCGCTTTCTTGACAATTCAATTATTTTCTTTCTCTTAAGTAATGTAAGTTAAATTCCTTTAAAAGAGTTTTTAGCATTGTTGATTAATAAAAGAGAAGAACTAATAGACTTTGTATTTCTCTTCACTTTTTTATAAACAAACTAAACGATTGAGAAACAAAAATAACTTTACTCTTTAAAGCTTACCTTCGCCAGTACGATAGACTTTTGACTGAGTATTCATCGTGGAAAGAGAAAAGTTTTAAGCCAAGAGCTGATCTATTTATGTTTATTCTGCTGAATAACGGTAGCTTTTTTTTATAAGAGTTATTTCTTGTTTTCGTTTTTGCTTCTTTTTTTTCTTTCTTTTTTATCAGTTTTGCACAGGAAAGTATACCGATTTATGTTTGTTTGACGAAACGAATTAATTTAATAAAAACAAAGAGGCACTAAATTATACTGCATTCGCTTTTTGAGATGAGAGAGTACAGTATGGTAAAAAATGGCGAGCGAGAAAAATGCGCAGGTTTAATATACGCGAGAACGAACGCGTTTACGCGGCGGTTTAAAGTCTTTTTAGTTAAATTAAATAAGAACTCTCTCTCTTGTGTTGGGTTTGTTTTGTTTTTTTTTCTTTTGTTTGTTTGTTTGTTTTTTTTTTTTTTTATAGTATTGCTTTTTTGTTTTCGTTCTTGTTTATAATAAAAGTTGGAGTAAATTGTGATATACAGTTATACAGTTCACACAAACACACACACGCACATACACACACGAGATACGCTTATATCTCAAATTAGAGAAAGAGATTTTTTTGAAGAGAAAATAGAAGAGAGAGATAGACAGAAAGAGAGAGAGATGTAGATTTATAATCTTTGGGATCAGATGCAAGTTTAGAATACTACTTGATATTTGCTTTCTTTAATTCAAATTTGTTTTTGCGTTCTTTAGGATTTCATTGATGGAATTTAAGTTTATTGTTTTATTCTATTAACGGATCGTAAGGTGTTCTCTTTTTAGGATTAGTATCATGAAGTGGAGTTTCGTTTATATATATATAAATATATACATATATGAATATATATATATATATGTATATATATAAATATAAATATATATTAACAAAGAGAGAGAGAGAGAGAGAGAGAGATTTCTTTTTTGGCGTGGTCCGTGTAATTTAAACACTCTAGGCTTTCTTGCCCTCTTGCAATGGCTTAGTAATTTTTATAATCTTAAATTTTTAATTATTTAGGATTTTTAAAAATAGTTTTAATTCGATATATAGATATTTTTATTTTAAAGTGAATAATAATTAATATTTATAATAATTATTATTTCTTTTATTTTTATTAAATATTTTAAATTGAATATATAGCAAAGTCTTTAAAGTAACCTAAGGTTGTTTGAATTGTATTGTATTTTTTTTTTTTTTTTTTTTTTTTTTTATTTATAATGGTTTTATGTCTTTTCATTTACGTTTACGAGTTTCATATGGTTATTGTTGTGTGATATTTACTGCACACAGTACTACTTTCCATTTCATTCGAATTGCAATTATATACTTACTTAGTGATTATTTGAATATTGTATGTTTGCTTTTTTTTTTAATTTAAATTAGATGTATTACTATAATTTTTTTTATTTTTTTAATTTTTTTTTTTTAGTATTTTCAATAATATATAATATATACTATAGTATATGTATCGAAGTCCTTTAAGATATCACGAATTTGTTTCAATGTTTCATTATCTTGTGTTCTCTTAGGGTTCTACAAATACGTATAAACTAAACTTTTTTTCTTTAGTTCTATCATAATAAACTTAGCTTCGTTTGTGTTTTACTTTATCTTTTTTACTTTTGTTTTAAATTTGCATCTTATGTTGCCATTAATTTTAAGTTTATAAATTTACAATAATTATCACAGAGATGTTTAATCTTCTTTGAATTTGTTTTGTTTCGTGTTTTCTTTATTTTTAGTTAGTTTTTTTTTTTTAAGACTTTTTGCATTCACACTAGTAGGTACAACACACAATTAAAGTTACATACGCCACAATGCACGTTGCAGTGTTTGTTTTTCTTCTCTTTACCTCGCAGTGTTTCCTCAGTCTTTACTGCTATTCGTTATGCTTTTTTTAACGCGCATTCTACTCTTATAATGTGTTTTTTTGCTTTTTTGTCCAAGGAAAATCAGTCCTTTTACAGAAGAGAGAGAGAGAGAGAGAGAGAGAGAGAGCGAGAGAACAAGAGGTAAGCAAAAAGAGATTGAGGAAAATCCTTTGTTATGAGATCTTTTTTTTTTGAAGAGATCGCACTCACTTTCTTTCATTAGATGTACATCATTAAGAAAGAGGCGTATGGTTCAATTGCAGTTTTTTCTTTAAATTTTTAATTTCAATTATTTAAATTAGAATAGAAACATTAATTATATAGAGAATTTAATGTAAAAGAGACTTAATTTATATATATATTTTTAATTTTTCTTTTTATTTAATTAGTTGGATTAAATTTATTATTATTATTATTTTTATTTATTTTAATTTTTAAATGATGTAGTTATTGTTTCCGTTTTTTTTTTTTTTGTTTTCCTTTTAATTCTTTGTTTTATTATTTGTTGCTTGTTGTTTGTTTTTATTATTTTAGAAGAGTGATTTGTAGTTGTTCTTATTTTGAAGGGCTTTTCGGAAAGCCTTTCAGGCGTGAATGGACCCAGTTGCAAGTCCCGTCTTTTCTCTTAGATTCCTTTTTTAACTCTACTCTCCCAATGTTTATTACTTTTATTACTTTTTCAGAGAGTTTCGTACTATCTTTCAGCTTCTGCAAAACTCTCCAAAGGCCGTTTTTAATTACACTTATAATTACAATTCTATTGAAGTATGCATAATAGTTTTTGTTGTTGTTTTCTTTTGTTAATACTTTGTACAATAATAAAAATCTTAATTAAATTTAAATTCAGTTTTTTAAGTTTTGTTTTGTGTTGCGTTTCTACTTTTTTTTTTTTTTTAATATTTTTTTTCGTTTTATTTGTACTTTGAAACTTTCTTTTCAGTTGTTGGTAGTTGTTGTTGTTGTTGCCGTAATGTTGCTTAATGAGGATTTTCCTGTGGTAGTTGTTACTGACAGTGGGCGTGGTTTAGTGTTGTATTTTTGTTTGCAAGTTTGCATTTGTTTTTTAACTGAGGGAATGAGGGTCGAGGAGGAAGAATATATGTAAAAAAAAAAAAAATTAAAAAATAAAATTACAACAAAATCGTTCGCTTTAAAAATTATGTTTAATTTAAATTTAATAACTTGCTGCTGCTGTTGGTTTAGTTGCTGTTTGGAGAAAAGTGTTTAACAATGAGAAAGCAGAGTTGTATTCGAGTTGCAGGAATTCTCAAGGTTAATGTTAACCTTTCTTAATTAAAGGTCTTAGTTTTGTTTCCAATTTTAAATTGTTTGGTTTGCTTTTTTATTTTTTTAAACTAAGGCTTAAAAAGTGCTGCTTCGTGTACAAAATTCCGTTGTTGTTTTTTTTATTTTAGTCTTTTGTTTGCTAATAATACATCCACCGTCTTGGCTTCACTAGCAGTCCAATATTTGGCCACACCAAGTTGCTTTTTTAGAGTTTAGCTTCTCCGCCGTGCTAATTTAAATGTACTAGTTTTCTTAGTGGACAGATGTGTTTTATATTATTATTATCATTGGTTTTTCTTTCTTTGAATTCCTGAAAATTCAATTTTGTTATTATTGAGTATTTGTTTTTTTTGTTTTTTTTTTTTTTTTGTTTTTTTGCCTTACTGTTTCTAATTTCACTAAGTGCGTTCTTTATTCCCAGTTTTTAGTTCTCATTAATTTTTGGTTTCTTTTTTTCCTCTTGTTATAAGGAGCTTGTAAGCTTAGCTTATAAGCCTTGTTTTAAAAACCTTGCAAACTGTTTATAGCAGCGGCTTAGCGGTTTCCTTCTTTTTTTTAAGTGTTGCGTAATCCGTACTAAAATTTCGATACTTCGTTTAAGAAATCAATTTAAATTATTTGCGAAATTTGTTCTCAAATTATATAAAAAAAAAATTTTTCTTTTTATCCGTAGTTTGGTTGGAGCACAATACATGCCACTTCCGCCGAATTCCTCCTAAAACGCCGGTTTTGGGTTTTTTTGGTTTTGAGCTAAACTTAATTATTATTTTCGGTTTTGTTGTTATAAATTTTTGTTGTTGTTGTTTTGATTTTTGTATTCGTTTCGATGGTGTTTTTATTTTCAGATTATGATGAAAGTGATGTCAAAACGGAGATTTAGTTACAAAAGCTGTAAATAGAAATAAATTAAAATCAATTTTAAAATATGGCCAATTAGCAACAAAAAAAAAACAACAAAAATAGAAAACTCAGATAGATTGGAAGCATTATTTATGTTTTAGTTGCTGTACTAAACAAAACAGTTCAAAATTATACTGCCATAGAGCTCACACACGCACGCACAAACACACACACACAAGCTGCAAACAAAATAGAACAGGAGCATTTAGAGAAAAAATGCCGGTTCGATTGTATACAAAAGTACTGCTTATGCGTGGACAACATATACTATCATAAGTGTGTACGGTTGGCTTCGACTCTTCTCCCGATAAACTACTCTAGTAGTTAAATGAAGAAAAAAAAGACAAATCTTAATATATAAGCACACACACTATTCATATGTTTCCCTCCGTCTATCAGAAAAGCAAAACTGTCGTGCAACAACATTGCAGAATTATTGATTTTTCAGAGAGTGCAGTCAGTGTAAACTTAAGGCCCCTCCCAGACTATACATATATACGCATTAGGAAGAAAATTATTATACTAGTATTTTTTCAACTAAACACATCTTTACGACAAAAATAAACAAATAGGACTGCATTAAAACAATGTCCTTTTTTACAGTTACAACCACATTAACTGCACTTTGAAAATGTCGCGACAAGTATATAATTTTCTCATTTTGCATTTCGACGTCAACGTCGGAAAAAAATTTCTAATAGCGGCGACTGCGGCTATGTTTCATTTACACGCACAAACACGACACTTTGTGAAAAAATACATACAGATTTTTTCAGACAAATATTCATTACGAAAATCACTACGGTTTTGCTAATTTTCATAAACAATTTATATGAAATGATTTGTTTTTTATTTTTTCATAGTTTTATTATTATTTTTTATGTATTTTGCCATGATATTTTAGCAAAATATAAAAATTTTCCGTCAACCAAATACATACCACGAACACAGCACAACACATACCATAGTTGTATAAATTGGTATTCAGCGTTGCTTTTAGTGTGTAATGGCTTTTAGTTTCACTATATATATAGTGACGGATAATCGATTTAGATCAATCAAGAGCTCATATTGGGCTTTGGTTAAAATTGTTATTTCATATGTATTCACATGTCAAAATAATATTATATTTCATTACATACATATATAGTCAAAAATCGTTCATTTGATATATTTGATATATCGTAGAGATAAATCGTGCATTTTTCAAAGGGTTTTTGTATAAATATATGCAAGTTGGCAACAATTTCCAAATTATATATATATACCTTAAGACTATATGTTCATATATACTTTCTGCTGCAACTTGACGAATGAAATGTACCGTTTTCTTCGATATTTAAGTTGAAACGATCAAGATGGATGAAAACAAAGAAATCGCAATATTTATAATAAATTCAGTAGCTGAACTCAGAAATCATAAAAAATACATACTTTGCATACTTTGCATGCTATACACTAAATTCTATTCATATGAATTGAAATGTTATAAAAACAACGAGTACATTGCTAATCGTGTATGTACTCATTCATACTAACTATTGAGCAATCTCTGCTAACATCACGGTAATGGTATCCAGAACGATGTAATCAGAGACAACTAAATGATAAAATAATCCAACATATTTTTCAAAATTCACTCTAGACGATTTTTGCGAACGTTTTGTGTTTCTGTTATCAATAACACTAGAAACGCCGTTAATTAGCACCCATTTGATTTCTTGCTCTTTATTTCCCATTATTTGAAAGGGCGAAAATTCTGTTAATAGTTTCCTGATGTGCCGTCACATTCTCTTAAACATTCCCAAAGCAGAAGCATATAAACTTTCGTGTTTTCAGCTGCATAGGTGCTTTGGTATACATATAAGTGTGTATGTACGAAAAAAAACTAAACAGGAGGTAGGTAGAAATTTGATGTTAAATTTTACGTTCAATCAATTCCTTCAATAAATTTTAA